CACTTCTGCTCACTGTTAGAGCAAGTGCTCCGAGCGCCATACTCATTTCCAAAGCAACACGCGCCACTCTTGGAGTTCTTTTCACCATAGCCTTATCCACCTTACCAACTTCACTTTCACTCTCCTCTAAGCCTTATCCACCACTCGAGTCACCATCTTCGCTCTTGGGGCAGCCCACGCTTGTCTCCAGAGCACTGCTCTATCAAGGCACATTCAGCTTCCTTTTCTCCATCTCCATCAACTATTTGGTCGCACCTCCCACCATTCTTCATCTCCGGAGTTCTTTTGTTTGTTTTTGAGGATTCTCTAACATATTTTGCAAGACATTTTCGTCATTTCGGCAACAAAAGAGGGTCCTAGGACACGTGTTCTTCAACTTAATTTGGGCCTAACTTACCCCTCTTCTTCGTCGGAGGTCCTACTATCCTCATCCACATCTAAGCTTAGTCACGTCGGATCTGTTTCTGACAAACTGTGTGCTTACGCATGTCAATCTCCAATACGTCGATCTTCTAAATCTACCGGACGTGGCAATTACTTTGTTTTATTTTTATGAGTGTTGAAACTTTTTAATAAATAATTGAAGATGATTATTTTGGATCCTTCACTATTATGACATCATCATTACCGATTTATATCAAATATAAAACAGATTCCTTCATCAGAGCTTTGACATTTGAAGGCATTTGTTTATAATTAAAGGTGTCAATTTCAAGGACTTCTTTTTGTTTCTTTTCTTGAATGTGCGACATTTTTAGGACCCAGCTAAAAGTGATTAGGAGAGAAAGTAGGAAACTTTGGGTAACAGGTTAGCCAATAATTTGATGGTATAATGTATCTAAAATATAGAGGGCGCGTTTAAAACTCATTTTAAAATAATTTTATTTTTTGTATGAAAATAAAAATGAAAATATTTTTAATCTCAGACATAAATTATTTTTAAAAATGCGTTTAATATTTTTATTAATAAATTATTTTTAGTGTAAAAAAACTTATTAATGTCTTTCTTTCTCTCAGAGAGGAGAAAACGAAAATAAAAAATGAAAAACGACTAAAAGTCATTTTTCTTTAGTCGTTTTTTATTTCTCTCTCATTTTACAGTAAACTAAAAAATCGTTTTCATTTTCATTTTTTGTTTTTATTGCGTCAAACGCCGTTTTGAAAACGTTTTCATTTTTTCTTTTTCAAAAAACATAAAAAATAAAAAAGAAATCAATTCCAAACACGGCATAGACACAAGATAAACATTAATGGAAACAATTAAAAAATAACTATAAATCTTCCTACAATTGATTTATCACTTGTGATAGAGATCCACTTTCCTTTCTCCTATCATTACTTTGTTTGCTTTTAGTCCTAGTGGGGAAACCAGGATTTTTTTAATATTAAGATAAGAAATCATGTAAATGAGATGCTTCGCCAACTTTGAAGATAGTTTATTCTCTCTCTCTCTCTCTTTTATAAAAAGAATAAGATATTCAAGAGGGAAAGCTAATTGGAGTTGGGATCTCTTTTCCATCAACTAGGGTTTTTTTTTTTTTTTCAACAATACAAATGCTGCTTCTATTTTATGAACTTGCATTTTTTGTCATACGACTCTTGATTACTTAAGAGTTATTTAAGGAAAAATGTAAAAAAAAAAAAAAAAGCATCAGTATTCTAAATTTTAAACTACTTTCTTTATTCCCAGTAATAAAATTACAATGGTGAGCTGAGCACTAGAATTCCAAAACACACATTAATAAATTCCTCCATTAGGAGTATTCATTCAAAATTAAAATAAAATTAGTGCATTGCTTTGCAACGCTATAGTTACAAGTTTACAATATTCCAATTACAATAAATTAACATTTTCTTGTGTTCAACTCACTCTGTACTTTCATTTCTACATGAACAAATGTAAGCAATCATGGCTCTTTCATCCTACCATTTCAGGTAATTAACTAAATCGTGACACTTAACCAGCTTAATTACTCGACGAAAGCCGCAGATATTAGGATTAACATGATCAAAATTGTTTTGCTTGAATAGGATGTTGATGATGCACCAGAAAAATGGACTCTCTGAGCCTGACCTCTGCATATTAGAGAAGTAATAGAATCAAAAAAATAAGTTAACCATTGACAAGTAACTGTTTGCATAGTTTTTTTTCCTCCTCATAATTGTTTATCAATAAGAAACTATCTGTGGATTCAAATTCCTCTTTACCAGCAGTACTTGCTAATGAAATCTTACTTTTGTAGCGATGAAAGTAAGCCGCAATAAATGGTATTTTCGGGCAACGTAACCTCGGATGAGTCAGGCTCAGAATTAACGACGCTGATATAAACTTCCTGGCCTAGATACCAAGAGTTCAGATTCTGTGCACGAAGGTTCCAAATGCCACTGTTGTCTAGAGAAATCAAAATTGCTGTCCAAGCTCCTGGAAAGACCTTTAGCCGGTCAAGAAATTGACAGTCAGTTTGACTAATACACTATCACACAAACTTTATTTTTCATTCCATGCATGCACAAACTGTAAATCTATGAGCAACTAGTTTAACTTGCGCAAATGTTTTATTGACCCCATTAAGCTAAAACATCATTGTCATGACAAGTTTTCGTACGGATAATTTCCTAACTAAATATGTTTATAGTTATTAAGACACGATTACCTGTGTGGTGCACCGAGCAACACCATCCCATTTGTTGTAAGTGCTTCTGCTGTTCTCCGTCCAAACTCCAAAATCCATCCTACAATAGAAATGGCAAACTGGCCAACTTATGTTCCTAACTTCTCCAATTGGATAGCAAAGTAGACGAACAGAAGAATTTCAAAGAAAATCAAAAGCTCACCCCACAACGAAAAAAGCGTAGCCATCCAAATGGTAGTTCTGAACGGTTGTGTCGTTATTCTGTAAGATGATTTCCATGAATCCTTTATGAGTACCATTAATCAGAGATGTATCAACTTTGGGGGGTCTGTTCATTAGCTTATTAGGGAAATCAAGCTTGTAAACCCCAGGAATCTTGAACTGTTGGGCAAGCTTCAGAGGCGTTGAAGGCGGTAAGTATGAAATTCCATTCAAAGTAGTTCTCCACTTCTCATTTATAAGCTCTGGAGGTCTGTTGACAACAACATAAACATCCGTGACAGTAATTTGACCATATCTGAAGGATCCTTGCGGGTTTGGACGAGCAGCACTAGCAGAGACATTCCATCTAATCACCATAAAAAAATGTATTAGTAATCAGTCCACCATTAATGAGAGGAATAAAAAGGCTAAAACAAAAGAAAATTACTAGTAAATGACTTTCAATGGAAACAAGCGAGTCACTGAGCCAATCAATAAAAAGTTCAAAGTTTGTTGGTCAGCAGACAAGTTATTTGGTAGATCAGCAATCCAATTTTTCTCTTTCATTTCTAGAACTGTTCAGTTATTAGACCAAAAGTAAATAATAATTAGCTACAACCTTATGGATCTTGCTTGATTCATTGAGAAATATGTGTCCATAGCATTAGAAGGGTCCAGGAGAGGACCTGAAGCAGGTCCCTGAGAATTCGAGTAGCGCAAGATGGCAACCCCGGTAACTCGATCCCAACCCGACGAATTGACAAACCGAGGGCTGGCGACAATGTAGTAGTCATTGCTGCCGTTTTGATCCATTGTTACCAGGAACGAATACGACTGACCTACATGTATGTCCATGTTTGTATAGTTCTGCTGAACTGTGTATGATCCTTCTGTCTCGACAAGAACCAAGTTATGATTTTGTATTCTGAAATTCAAACTAGTTGAGATACCAACATTGTGCACCCGAAATCTGTATGTTTTTCCTGCTCCAGGAAAGATTTCAATGAGATAAAGAAAAGGATTCCTATACATGTAAAATCACAGTGAAGGAAAGGTAAGATAACTGAATAAGAATACTTTAGAAAAACATAAAATTATTACCTGGTTCGACATTTACTGTTAGGAAAGGATTGCCGCTAGGAACAAGTGTCTCATCAAAGCGATAAGGACCAAGTCCATTTATAAGAATACCACCAGGAACTCCAAGGTCAACTCCATTCTCAACATCTTTTCTCAGATCCTGTTGCCGCATGAGCATTAGTCATACTAAAAAAAAGGAGAACATAGTAATGGGATAATAACAAATATTTCTCTTGTATTTTTAACGAAATGTTATGTTCCACCCTATATTTTCAAAAATGTTACATCTAATCCTAATGTTTACAAACCCTGTTACAACTATACCCTATATTTTCGTTTTACAAATCGTGTTAAAAACCTCTCTATATCCGGTGAATATAAAGTTCATTATTTCAAAATTAAAATAAGGTATAGATTGACCTTATGACTCTTTGTGTACCAATCACTGATGAAGAGTGTAACATCTCCATCTGGCAACAAAAATGGCAATGGAATAACATCCCTGTTGTTTATGGTGATACCCCCATATCCTCCCGCGGCTCTTTGGAAGTTCAGGGAAGGGAAGTAAAAGAAACTCCCTATCTGATCCTTCACCTGGAATTCATATGTCCAGTTCCAACCCACGGGAATCGGACAATTAGTCCCCGATACGCCGTCTTGCCAAGAGTTTTTCCTGTGCTGTATTCCATTCCTGCATCAAAAAATTTTGCAGCCTAAATGGCATTAACTTCTCAATACTTTTAAAAACCGTTTACCGTGCTAATAATGGGAAACAGATTTTATACCATGTCAGAAGCAATGGCTCATCAAGGTTATTCTTGACATTCACAACAACATTCCAATTTGTAGTGACGTTAAGAATTGGCCCTGGAAACTGTCCGTTGATTCCAATCACCTAGAATAATTTGTAAAGCCCCACATCATTTAAATATAAAAACTAACATAAACTTATAAGGGCATCAAGCTCTTTCTAAGAGTCCAATTTTCGTTTCCATCCATCGGTGACTCTAAAAGATTACGTGTGAAGGTAATTGTATCTTTAAAGAAAGACAAACAATGAAAGAAATAGTGAGCGAAAATAAAATACTATAATTGCCTCGTCTTAATGCAAATTATTACTTTTCTTTTAGCCACCGACACATCTAAAAAGCCAAGAAAATAATAAGTAGTCCATTTTTTCAGGAATTATTCCCAATAAATAAATAAAAAGAGCTGAGATATTGATAAAAGTGAGCAGTTTTAGCAGACAAGAAAACTGTGCTTGAATCTCTTTACCAATTCTTTTTCAGTATTATCTATTCGCAAAATAAGATGGCATAGTTCCAAACAAAATTATCCCAAAAGGGGAAAAAAGAAAGGAAAGAAAGAAAGAAACAGAAATTGAGAAGAAACCTTTTGTTTAACTCCAAGTGGTGAGGCAGTGAGGTAGGAGACAGACCAATCATAGAAGACGTACGGGTCACCGGCCAAAGAAACACTTAGCGAGGAAAGAATGAGAATCAAGTAGAAGAAGAAGAAGCAAGAACAGCAACTCAGGACTGAGGGCATTGGAATTTGTAAACAACCCTTGGTTTCCCTTTTTGGCCTTCTGGGTTTTCTTCTCTTCAGTTGGAATGATAGGAGAGTTTGAGACAAAGAGACAGGATTGAAGAAGAGATGGGTAAAAGAAAAGAAACGATTGTTTGAACTTTCTTTGCTTGATGAGATTGATTAAGTGGAAACAGCAAAGCTGAACAGAAAACTTTGGTGGCAGAGCAGTGAGTGAGTGAGAGACGGACAGAGAGAAAGTCACACGCAGTACTGATTTTGGCACGTGGGAGTGGCCAAAAAATGAGAAGAATACCAACTTACCAACTTGGGTTTTCATACGAGAGACTTGTCCTTTTTCTGTGGGTCCCAGGTTCCTATAATTTTCTAGAGAAATGAGCCATAATATTTTTTTTTTCTTTCTTAGAGACAATTCAGCCATGATTATATGATACATATTACTAGCTAACGTGTTTTTTTTTTTTTTTTTTTTTTTAACATTTCTACGATATAGTATTCCTAGCATAGCGATAAATATGAACGTTAAATTAATTATGTATTAAAATAGAATATTCAAAATTAACATGCAACAGTTCAAAACAAAACCTTACTTGTGTGCATATGAATTATTATAGGAAAGACTAGGGAAAAGAAGCTTGTAGAAAAGCAATCAAAGTGAAGTTGGAAAATCTTTACTATTTGTTGGATCTTGGGACCAGTGTATGCTTTTTTTTTTTTTTTTTTTCTAGGAGTATGTGTTTTAATTATGTTTATTTTATCGATTTGAGTTTAAAATTTAAATTTTATTACAGTAAAATTTTTTTTTTTTTTTTTTCTAGGAGTATGTGTTTTAATTCTGTTTATTTTATCGATTTGAGTTTAAAATTTAAATTTTATTACAGTAAATTTTTTTTAAAAATAGTCACATTTAACTTTTTACTACAGTAATAAATTTTAACATAAAATCATATCTCAATTTAAATTAAAAACTCAAATCAGTAAACTAAACGGGCTTTTTTATTAACCACATTTGTTTTTTGCTGCGTGATTCATTCACACCACACAGAGTGGTATTGGCGAATCTATTTGTAGTGAGGTAGTTCCTTACTGTGATTTGATTTATGAGTTGTAACACAAACACAACAACAATGTCTGTAAAAATAAATAAAATAATAAATATTGTTAATCTTGACAATGTGAACTTCACGCTCATTCAAGAGATATCTTCTTTTTTTTTTCAAACAAAAAAAAACTGAAAGTAGAGAGATTTAAAAATTCTTTTTCTTTGCACTGTGTTTTCATTTTCAGGTTTATCAAGGGGGTGGGATATTATTTTGCAGTGAGTAGATTATTTTTGTTGAAAGAAAATAAAGAAAGAAACCCAATTTTGTGATTGAAAGGGACCAAATGAAAAAAAAAAAAAAAAAAAAAAAACTAGAGAAAATTGTAAAATTTACCCTTAAGAGTGCATAAATCTGAATATTACTCCTCATTTTTTATTAATATCCTTTTGCTATTATAGTTATTAGATTAAAATAATTATTAATCAAAAACTGAGTATAAATCTGGACCTACGTTTACGGAGTATTTGTCTTTTTTTCCAACACTAAAATACTGTCTTAATGTTGGGCCAAAGTTAGTAAATTTAAGCCCATCCTCAAAAGTGATGGTCATCAGAAATGCAGCTCTCAGTCTGGCCAAGCACGCAATAATCTCGTATCTGAATAGGCCACTTGATGATCTTTGCGGCCTAAAATCCGGCCCAAGGCGTTCTAGATCTCATAAGCCACTATTTCATTTGATGTTGAGAAATTTTCATTTAAAATCTCAAATGTAAAACATTCCCATGGTTGATTTGTTCTTTTGGGCTCAAAGTCTCCAACAATGGACAGAGACTTGGAAAACGACGGTTACACATTCAATGGGCAACACCCAGCCAAAGTGTCCGTTTGTACTTAAAAAAAAAAACTCATTAAGCACGAAAAAACACATGTTAGCAATAAAATTTAGACAAAATCATTTTATTAAGATCTCCTTAAGTATCACGACGGCCGGTAAGGATAATGTATAAATATAATTATTGAATACGATAGTTGAACCAAATAAAATAATTGTGTTTGTTGAACTACTAGGCCCAAAATGTATCTTCACCATTATTATCCGTTACAGAGAAATTGCTTAGCGACAATGTCTTCCATTAATTACCCTGAATAATTGTGTATTATTAATGCCATGACAAAATCATAATAGTTGTCACGCCCTCAAGCGTCCTCTAACCTCATCTCTTTCTTTCGTTCCTTTATTATTATTATTTTTTCCTCCCCTCGTATTTCCATTCTTTCTAACTTGACGTTTGGTTGGAGAATTCAAACCATGATTTGAATTATAGTTTATAGTTTGTTATAGTGTTTTCTCTCATAAAAAATACACGTAAATCGAAAATAGTTCTAATTCATGAATCAAACGTCTCTCCAAAGTTGTGAGACTCAATTATTACAATTTCATTATTGAGTCTGTATTTTCTTTGGTGATAAATTTTGAGGGTGAGAACTGAACTGTCCCCTCATGCCACCTTAAAATGCTTGAGAATATTTATAGTTCTGTAACTATTTAAAAGTTCCTTTTTTATATACGAATCAAAGAGTAGTGCTAGTATACTAATAACCCAACTTTTATCTTAATTTTTTATACCACTTCGCGTTATAAGTGAGTTGCCTATTTTTAATATTTTTATTCGCGTGACAACTTTTTAAATACGATTAAAATGGTAGAATAAAAGTCGAGACCTTAACATTATTCTTAATCAAATATAACTTAAGCTAAAATCTTAAGTCTAATTATGTTATAGTTCAATAAATGTAATTTTTTTTATATGTATGTGTAACTTATTTACTTATTAAGTGTACTTTTTTTATACCCATGTAATACTCAATATTACTACTGTTAAATTATATTTAACAAAAATTAAATAATGCAAACTAAGTGTAACAATATTACATAAATATATAGAAAAAGTTACATATGCCTCACTAGTCCAGATGTCAGAACAATTCTTATAATTTAAAATTAAAAATATATTGTGCGTTTAGAACTCGTTTTAAAATAATTTTATTTTTTGTACGAAAATGGAAATGAAAACGTTTTTAATTTTAGACATAACTTATTTTTAAAAATGCATTTAATAGTTTTATAAGAGATTATTTTCAGTATAAAAAAACTCATTAATGTCTGAAAACGAAAATAAAAAATAAAAAATGATTAAAAGTTATTTTTTATTTATCTTTTATTTTACACTAAATTAAAAATTTATTTTTATTTATATTTTTTATCTTTAATTGTGTTTTTCGTTCTCAAAAAATATAAAAAATAAAAATAAGAATAATTCAAACCAGGGCAATAATATTTCATATTTGACCGCGGGGATAAGAGAAGCTCAATCCGGGACAATGAACAAGTGGATCAACTTTCACCAAGCCGTGTAGTCAAACACTCCCAAACAATTTCCTTCTCGTGTTAAATTTATGACACTTTCTGTTGTTCCATTGTCTTCTTGTCCATCTTGAGTAAAATCCATCCACGCGCTTGCAGAGTTGCATCAGCATCATAATCTAAACACAATTATGATTTATATGATCACCAGCCCCCAACGGCCCCAGGCCTGTTCCTCCACTCTCCCAACAGGCGCGTGAATCCCACTTCCCTCGCGGTCTCCAGATTCCGAATCACAGAACTCCCCCAGAACGTGCCAAAACACATTTCGGCTGTCTCCACCCAATCCCACGCCATATTGCGCAACGGTTGCCGTTAAATTGCAATAACGCCACTACTATCCCACGTGGGGCTATTTGAATGGTAGTATTAACTCTTTACAATGAGCTTGAGCGTAGAGAATGACAGTCGGATACAAAGGGCCCCACTTATCACCACCAATAATTGATCATTCTCCTAATCCTCTCTGTATTCAAGCTGGCACCGCCATCACTGTCTCCTTCTACTTCTTCCTTCCTCACATTCTTCTTCCTCTTCTTCTTCTTCGTCTGCAAAATTCCTAAAACCCTAATAATCACCGAAATTCAATTTCACCATTATCTTCATCTCTGTAAATAGCTTTCCAATCCCAATCCCACGTATGGTTTCGTATCATCAAACAGAGAAATCAGAATCGCCAACTTTCTAAATACCAAAACGAAGATTCAGTCTTTGAAGAAGATGAAGCTTGTATATCTTCTCTGCTTCGTAATCCTTTCCATGGCGACTCGTTCCGATTCGCGGCCGCAGAAGAAGGTGGCGGCGACGACGACGGTGTACGATGCGTTGAAGCAGCACGGGCTGCCGATGGGGCTGTTGCCGAAGGGCGTGAAGGACTTCGAAATCGACGAGAACGGGAATTTCCAAGTTCATTTGGATAAGGCCTGCAATGCCAAGTTCGAGAGCGAGTTGCATTACGACAGGAACGTCTCGGGGACGCTGAGCTACGGCCAGATCGGGGCCTTGTCGGGGATTTCGGCGCAGGAGCTCTTCCTCTGGTTTCCGGTGAAGGGGATTCGCGTCGACATACCTAGCTCCGGCCTCATCTACTTCGACGTCGGTGTCGTCTTCAAGCAATTCTCTCTCTCGCTCTTCGAATCCCCACCCGAGTGCGTCGCTGTTCGGACTCTCGACCGGAATGATTTTTCAGATTCAAAGGTAGGTTGAATCTCAGTCAGTTCAATTCTTCTCTTTATTCATTGAAAAACAGAAAATTTATAGGGATTTAGTCTGAAAGCTTTGAATTTTGATCAATGTTTGGTAAGCAAGAAATATGGCTGAAAAAATTTGTTGCGATTTTGAACAGAGGGAATCGGGGAAACTTCGATATCAGCGTGATCAAGAAACTTTTGGGAGAGACGTTGTGTAGGATCGATCAAGGATTATATATATATTGGAGGGAAACGGTTGAAATGAAAATTTTTAAGTTGGCCTATAGCTCAATCAGCTTATGGGTAATCTCTACTCCACCATGTATATTTCTTTTTCCCCTGTGATACGGAGTCTAGGTTTTTTCTGTGGGTCCTGATAGCTTCCTTTCCAGACTTCCATTGTGTGCTTGCGTTGCTTGCCATTTTGTTTTTCCTTTCCCCGCTGTAGTGCAGAGAGTCTGCAAATTAGTCCCGCCTGCTCCTGCGGATGTTGTTGGGAGGTGGTTGTGAAAAAACGCGAGGGAAATTCGGATGAGCGGCGAATGATTGGTTCGCACATTGTAGAAGAGGATTCAAGTGAGGCAGGAGCATTCTCGGGTGAGTTGAGGCGAATTCAGGTGACGAATCTGCGAAAAGTGGTTTTACATTGTACGTTTAGATTTTATATTGTATAATGGGTAAACATCTTTGTTGGGTGGATGCCAAAGTCTTGTTTTTTGTAGTGAGTTTTGTTAGATTCATGAGAAACCGGATACCTCTATTATACGAAAAGATTCAATAATAAAATCACATCACGTATGTGATTCTGCTTTTGCTTCCAATAATATTGTTTCATACTGTTTCTATTCTTCCCATCTCTGTCGTTGCTTTGCCTATGCTAGCTAAGTACTAATTTTGGTTTCTTCCTCGGAATTGATGGATCAGATGAACAAGAGAGAAATAACTACTAACACCATTTTACTTCCGTTTGTCTGATTGCGTGAGTACCAATTTGGCGTTGAGGAACTTATTCTTACATTGTTATGCTCAGGTGTAAACCTTGACGGACTCTATTTCCATTGACAAAGAGTACTTGAGCAGATGGTTTGACTAGTGATGCTTTTGAGACTAAGTCTCTACTTCTGCAGTGGATTTTTGATCTAGAGGTCATTTCTCCAAGACCAAATTTTCACCTTGTTTCTTCAATAGCCAGTAATAGTCGTTATCAACTTTCTAATTTTTGGTTTGGCTAGGTAGACATACTAACACTTGTATTCCGAAATTTTTTTTTTTTTTATAACTCTATTCGGTTGGTTACTTTGGACGAGTTTTACTGAATATTTGTTTTTTTGCACGTCTGTGGTTGGTGAGGTATGTTTTAAAATTTAAGACGTGATAGTTTAAAAGCTTATTCTGTACTTTGAATCTTTTCGTTTTTTGGTTTAGGGTTTTCTTTATGTTGTCCCCTAGTCACTGATGGACACATCGGTGGTTGTTGGTTCATTGATGACATTTTGTTTTGTGATACTCGTATGAGGCTAACTTTGTTTTGCGTTTATTCAGGGACATTTTCTCTTTCAGGTTAACTGCTGTCCTTTTCCATAATTAGTCCTCTCTCTCGATGACATTATGGTTGTAAGTAAAGTTCTCAACTAGTTGCTACTACTTTTTATCGTATGAAAAGGATGCCTAGTTGAGATGGAACATAACAACATCTTAGCACTTGTTTTATATTAGTGGATGAGTCAAAATAATTATTCTCAAGTTATTGCTTCAATCTGAGGATTAGACTGCATTGCGCTGTGTTGAAGTCGGTTGCTAACTTGTTGGTCACGTAATGCAGGGCCTGGATTCGACCTTCATGGTCTATTTGAATTTTCTTATTCGTTGCATTTGTAGAAAAGAATTTCTGGCATATTTTTTCCATCAACTTAGTTATAGTTTTCGACATACTGAAACTAACCCTGTTCCGAAGATTTGATTCTGGAAAACTTTGTTGAATAAACTTTACTGCTTGAGTGCTTTCTTCTTTGGCTGAAAGTTTGGTACAGAATTAAGACATTGGTGGACCGTATAACAACGTTGAAATTTCATAGGACGAATTTGTGAGAAAATAGTCAGGTTCATTTAAAAAAAAAAAAAAAAGGTTTAGATCTGTCTTTAGTTGTAGTTTTGGCAGGGTGTTTGTCTGATCTCTCGACATCCCATGTGTACCGGCACCCAGTATGTTTGTTCAATTAAAGATCCATGTGGTCCTGCTCAGTTTATTAGGCGGGTACTGTTGTATACTTGCACACATAATGGCAATACAGACAAAGATGGCCAGCAGGATCAGATGCCATTGGAGAGAAGCAAACGTAATACTGTTCATTCTGTGAGTAACAAATAGAAATAGGTACTGGTTGGAAGTTGGAACTTAATTTGACTAAAAAGAGAGTAAAAAAGAAACACGACAAACATGACAAAAAATCCAGCATCGTCTTCTTATTGGATTTACCAATGAAACTAACCATTTCAACGAAAATAAATTTCACCAAGATTAGACTATGATATAAAAGCAACTGTCAAAGTCATTTGGCTACTCAAACTTGCAAAATTTTGACCAAATTGTCGCAATCGAATGTTCTTAAGAATATCTTATAGCTCCAAAACAAAGTGTGGGTCAGATGGGGAAAGGGGAAAAAAGAGTTTGTAGAGAAAAAATGCTGGATATCTTTAATCGAGAATGATATATAAACACTTCTTTTTTGCTCCGGGTTTATGCTATGCTTCTCTTTGGTAGATGTGTTCATAATCTAAACGAGTGCAAGTTGTATGTGTATTTCCCATAAACCAGCTTTAGTAATTGAGGAACTTTTCTGATTTCTGATGAATGAACTTTCTTGTGGCATATAGTTGGTGGACTGAGGAATTAAATGTAAAACTCCTTTAAACCACGTTTATTTGGCTATCCGCTTAAACGAAGGGATTAAAAAAAAAAAAAAAAAAAAAAAAACCTACGGAACATTTTCATTACCTGTAGTTATGGTGTTTACCCGGATTATTGCATTAGCAAATGGCCTGACCTGTACTCCTCTTGTGATTACTGCAATTACGCACACAAAATGACAATTCTCAATCAATCTTTAACTCGAAAGTTAATTTTAAATAAGCATCATAATCCAACTAGAGTTTAACGTGTCTTTTAATTAGAAAAACAGAGAGGAAAAAAATATAAAGAAAAAAAATCCATAATCATTCTGCTGCTAGCCTGATAGAATAGCTTCCAAAGAAACCAACTGTGCAAACAACTCGAGGTTCTTGTCACCATTCTAGATAGTAGCCATGCCACCAAGATATATATATATATATATCCTGTTTGCTTAGGGACCACCAGATTTTTTGGGCGTATAGTGATGTTATAGGACAATATAGTCTTGAACTTGGAAAATAATAGCATCCAACTTAATATCAAGGTCGACATCAGAAATTAGCTTGAGTAAAGTAATAAAATTCATTTCTGCTCCTTATCATGTGCTTTTCTTTATTATGAAACCAATAAAAGTGGGGTCGCTTCCCCCTCTCACTCCTTTTTTGTTCCCCATATTTTCGGTGTATATATACAACCGCATATTTAGTACTATTCGTCTATTCGCTTCGAAAGGAAAAATGCTTTATCTGTTTACGGCATGATAAAATAAATGTGATGTGAGAGATAAAACGTAGAAACCAAGCTATAATGTACTTCATAAGGAATAATTGGCATGGGACTCAGTTGAACGTGATCTTTCAATTGAATAGTTGCTATCAGTGAAAGGGCTGTTTAGAGATAAGAAATGGTCCATTAGTTGGGGGATAGGGTACCACAGTTCCTTTTCCACATTGCAAGGGGAAATATAAAATAAAAATGGCATAGGGGAATCTGAATACAATTCTATTTTGATATGAATGAATCATATATATATATATATATCTTAAATTCAAGTGATCATATTGATACTATATTATGTGTAGGATGCGAATCACTTTCAAACAACTTAAGGGTAAATTTTGGTTTTAAAAAAAAGTCTAAATACATATACGGATTATTACAAAATCACGTTTAATAATCTGACATTTTTTTAAAGATCCACTTTTATTTTTGGAAACAACATCCACGCCCTTTAAATTTAATATTTTGATTTCAAATTCACCTCTTGAATTTGCAAAAATTAAATATTGCAAAGCCTATTTGGCTCGAATAATAAGAAGAATGACTTTGAATATAACATTGTGTCAAAAAAAGAAAATGCCAGGAACAATTTATCAAAATCTAGAAGACTTTTACCCCTGAAATCACATGACTTATCATTACTTCCCTAAAGATACAAAGAATGGACTGGGTCGGCCCGATCTAACTTATTCTCTTTAGGGCCATGTAGGTCATGGATCATTTTTTTGGTTCGGATTAGACCGACTCATATAAAACAAATTCTTAGCCCAACCCCTACCTGGGCCACTTTTTCTGGGGCTAGTTTGTGCCATGCTATGGGTCAGCCAATCTTAGCCCATGATTTTCAATTTTTTTCATTAATTTTTACCTTCTAAAATATATTGTAATGATATAAAATATAGTAATGATGTGTAATGATATGTAATATATACATAATAATGACATACAATAAATAATATATTATACTTCTATGAGGACTATGTGCTCTGGTTTTGCAGAATAGCTACCAAAGTCAACTTTCACAAACTTTTATGAATATTTTATATGAAAATATGAGTCTTGAATTTTTACCCTTTACACTTGATTAATATTCTCTAGTCAAAAACTATATTACTCAAAAGAGTATTAATTAAAAGTAAATGGTGAAAATTTTAAAAGGGTGAGTTTACCAATTTTCTGGTGTTTTTATATTTGTTTTTGAGAGATAGGTCAAAATGGGTTGGCCCATTATGGCCTACATGGGCCTGTAGGTTATGGGTGTCATTGTGGGCTTGTACGAGCCTATCCACCAGGCCTAACTCATGCTATTCGACGGATTTGTCGGGTATGGCCCATGGGCCTCAGATCCATTCCACCATATATTGATGTATTGGGTCGTACTAATCCGGCCCCATACTGTATCAAGATGGGTTTGCCTGGCCGCATGCTGATACCCGTACTTTCCTTTCTACATACTTTCTAGCGAGATCGCCACATCATCGCCTCACCGCCGCCCACATATCACTAGTGTTCTTTTAACATTGTACTCTAAGTCAAGCATAGGGAGTAGTTTAGTTGGAGGGTTCAAGGGTTTGAACCCAAGTTTATGTTCAAATCCTTATTTATTTGTTAAAAATAAAGAGGTTTAAATTTTTTGATGTGGCATTTAAATTCTTAAAATAAAAAAATTTCTAAACACACATTCCTTTTGAGTTTTTAAGGTTTGAATATAATTTTAAACTCAAATGATTTAAATCCACCCTGATTTTGCCTTTACAAAACGAACCCTTAACGGTTTTCTCATTAAAAAAAAAGGTTAGGGTGTTTTATTATATTAGGAAAAAAAAGATAGTGGTTTTTTAAAGAAAGAAAAAAATTTACTCATTTTGAACTTATATCATGTGTGATGTGCCACCCACATACCAAATTTTATGGTGTTTTATTACATTAGAAAAAAAATGATAGTTGTTAGTTAGGGTTTTTTTTAAAGAAAGAAAAAAAATTTACTCATTTTGAACTTATATCATGTGCCATTCACATGTCAAATTTCATTGAAAATCAATTTTTTACCAAAGAAATTAAGGGTTTGTTCTTTTAGATTAAAACTCAAAAAAAGTTTGAACTCAAGTTACAACTTTATTCAAGTTCATATTCTTTTGTAAAATTTGAGTTTGAACTTGAATTTTAACTTGAGTTGGAGCTAAAATCTGAGTTCAAGTCCCCCTTCAACTCAAGTTCTTAAACTCAAACTCAAGTTAATGAACATTATTTTTTCTATTTTTAAAAACGTCATAACTTTTTCGTTTTAATTTCGATTGAGATAATTTTTTTATGCGTTCACAATGAAAAGACGAATAAAACCTCACATATATACCCTATTAAAATTTTCTATCACCATTGAGTTTTTATTAAAATATTATCTAAATACAAATTCAAGTTTTGACCCACCTAAACACAAACTCAAATAGATTATCAATTCAATCCATAATTCAAATGTGCATATCCAACACAAACTCAAGTTATAATTTTAATTCAAATTATAACTTAAATTTAACTTAAAATCTACACTCAAATCACTATAACTTAAAAATGTAATTGAACAAGTGGAATCAAGTCGTCGGTATGAAAAGTAAAGAAAACGCACTATAAACGGTTAGTGTACTAGTGGCCTTTTGTAGAGCGTTACATAGAGCAAGGAAAACACGTGGATAGGTGAAGCAGTGTTAGTTGTCATGCATGTACACACAGGGCCTTGATGGTTGTGACAAATCCCGAATCCAACCAAGCCAATACACTAGTCGACTACTTCCTCATGTTCTGAACTATTTTTGACAAGCTTTTCAGTGGCAAGCCTCATTTTCATGTCCGTTTCTGTTTCGAGTTTTTGGTAGCACCCGCCACTTCTTCTCTCTCTCGTTTTCTTATTAATCTCACAAATAATCTTTAATATTTATTTTTAAAGAGATTCTTTGGTACGCTCATATGTTTTTTTAACTATTGAATTTATGTATTTTTTAATTTTTATATGATTTTATGCAGACTTGACAGATAAAAAATTTAATCTACTGGTATGTTGGTGTACCAGAAAAGATCCCTTATTCTTAATCCCACTTTTATCCTTAAGTTTTTAAACGTTTCACAATTAATTCTTGAGATTTTATTTCATTTTCAATCCTCCTATTAACTTGGTGTTAAATATTTGATGGAATATATAAAATTATGAACTCAAATTAAAAACATATATAGTTTAGAGACTGAAATAATACAAGTAAATAAAAGTTAGTTTTCACAGATCGTCCTAAAATTTCAGATGTTTCTAATTTTGATTCTTAATTATACAGATTTGATAAGCTTTTAACAATTAATTAACGAAAGAATTGAAATTAAAACAAAAATAAAACCTTTAGTCTAATTGTGAGACACATTTGAAAAGTTATGGACTAAATTGAAAGAGACTATTTGTTAAATTAACCTTTCTTTTTTCTTTCCATTTTTTCCATGATATTTCTTTCTTTGTTTGTTACGACTAATATATAGCATCATCACACATAGTTTTTCATGATTTTCGAGAAATCTTCTGCCAATACAATAACAATTGCAATTTCACCCCCACGATCAAGGGAGTAAAAGTGCAATGTTATCTATTCACGAACCTTAAAATATGTTGCACAAAAATGATGCTAATTGCGAACTACTACTAGTGGTTTATGAGTCCTATAACGCAATACATGTTGCTTCTTCCTTAAAAAAATAAAAATAAATAAAAAAATAAATAAAAAATAAATAAATAAAGGCATCTTGATTCTCCTATGTGGAATATATGAACTAGACCACGGATTCTATTGGTCCACAGGTCAGTGGAACAAACAGGAGCAAACATAGTGGGACTGATATATTGCCCCATAAATTTCCTTTTTTGATGGAACATGTACACTTGCACAATAATTGTCTTAAACACAAGCACACTTTGAAAACATATTCGCATAAGCAAAAGAGACCCTTTTAGAACGTCCAATAAATAAACAAACAAATAAATAACTATCTGAAACATGGACGCGACAATGAGTCAATTTACACCATCATAGCTCCTCAGCCGTCCATCATCAAAAAGATCCTAATTCCTAAAATATCGGACCAGAAACCATTTCCTTTGACTTTTCCATTACGTTGTGCACGCAACGCCCAGAAGGCCACAAACCACAACATCTGTCACGTGCTGCACGTGATTATCTATCACTCTCTTGTACAAGGAATTTCTGCAGTAGAAACGCGTTTATAATTAATTTTAAAATAATTTTATTTTTAATAAAAAAATAAAAATAAAATTATTTTGAGAATTATTTGTGATTAATTTTAAAATTGCGTTTAGTTAGTTTTTTAAGAGATTATTTTGAGTATAATGAAAAAATAAAATCATGTTTATTAATTAATATATTATAATATTATTGATAAGTATTAATAAATGAAAACAGAAAAGTGAAAATAATTTTTAACTGTTTTTTAATTCTTTTAAAAAATTATTCTCACTGTTTTTATTTTCATTTTTATTTTTAAAATATTTATTAAATAAATATCGATTTATTTTTATTTTCATTTTTTACTTCTACTGCACTTTTTCACTATTGTTACGTTTTGAAATAGACGAATTGTTCAAACTTTTTAACGTAAAATTTATAGATAAACCCGAAACGTCAACTAAAGAAAATGACTATTAATAATTTTTTATTTTAAACTGTTTTATCAAAAATTATTTATTGTATATATTTTTTTAATTAATTATAATTATAATTTAATTCAACAATTAAAAAATATATATAAATCTTAAAACTGAAAAAAAAAAAAAAAAAAGTTTTAAAAAAGTCTATCTATCCCATGAGCTGTTTCCAGAGTTCGACACACACCTCTCCTTTCATTCCTTCCCTCCTCTACAGAGCTCGCCGGTGAACCACCACTCGCCGGCACCGTCAATCGGAATCATCACCGGCGATGTTCACCTCCCTTTCTTCTTCTCCATCTTTCTCAATGATCTCAATTCCGTCTCGTTCTCTCTTACCTTCCTTCATCGCCAAAAAGCCAATTCTTCTCTCAACACTTCTGAATTCTCATTCCCTCTCATTTGCCTTCAGACCTCCTTCTTCATCTTCTTCTGCTTTTTCAATTCGGAAGAAGAAATTCAACAATGGTGTACTCGCCTGTTCGACCTCGCCGTTCATTGGACGAGTGGGGTCGCAGAGAAGAGAAGGCCAAGCCTCGCTGCTTTCCTTTGGGATAAACCCACCGACGGCGATTTCGGAAACCGCGAACAAGAGTAGCGACTCTTCTCAGCTCTTGTCTGCAATGCTTCCTTTCGTCGTTGCCGCCACCGCCATTGCTGCTCTGGCTCAACCTTCTACTTTCACTTGGTCGGTAAATTTTGCTCTTTTTTTTGTCTTCTTTGAAATATTCGGTAGTAAACGAATTATTGCATGTTGAAATTTTTGGGTTTTCGAGTCTTGCATGCGATTTTTTTAATAATCTTTTTGTGAATTTGGGTTAATTAGTGAAGATGAGGTTTAAATTGGGGAATAAATATAATATAAAGTCCCTTGTTTTGGTTTTATTTTAAAGAATTAGTATAATATAATGGCCATAGACTATCTTCTCAGTCGTGTAGAATAAATAAATATATTGTGCATCTATGTATTTATGTTTTGCTTTAGAAATGACTTACAATATGCTTAAAGATTTTTTTTTTCCCTTTTTTACTTCTTATCTTTCTTTTTCTTTTTATTTTATTGGTAGTTGGTGCAGCTTAAAGATCGTTTCTTCATTTAATGTTGAAGGAAATTTCAGTTTTCTTTTATTTTAGTAGTTAAGAAATTCATGGAGTTAGTTGGTCGTTTCCGGCTTTTGTTCAGAACTTGGATGATGAAGAATGAAATTTGCATTTCAGAAGCTGGGATCACTTTTATATGTTTGATTTTAAGCCCACTAGAGTTTCTGCGTCAAGCTATTTCTTTGCTACATGACTAATTATAATGCATAATTTTGACATTCTGAACTCTTTTTTTTTTTTTTTTTTTTTTTTTTGTGTGTTTTTGCATGCAGGGTGTCTAAGGAATTATATGCCCCTGCTCTTGGTGGGATCATGCTGTCTATTGGGATCAGACTGTCCATTGATGATTTTGCTCTTGCATTTAAAAGGTAATTCTTTTTTCCACCACGGCCTTTGTTTTCTTGTAGTTCTTCACCATTTTTTTTTTATTTTCCTAAACTATCCCTGAGATTCTCACCAGTTACCACTCTGCTACTTCATCTTCTGCAGGCCATTACCACTCTCTGTTGGGTTTATAGCCCAGTATGTGTTGAAGCCAGCTCTTGGGGTACTAATTGCGAGAGCATTCGGTATGTCACCGATGTTCTTCACTGGTTTTGTCCTTACCTCTTGTGTTGCAGGAGCTCAGCTATCGAGCTATGCTAGTTTTCTGAGCAAAGGAGATGTGGCCTTGAGCATTCTTCTCACCAGTTGTACCACCATTGCCTCAGTTCTTTTCACACCTCTATTAACCGGCCTTTTAATTGGCTCTGTTGTTCCTGTTGATGCTGTGGCCATGTCAAAGTCGATATTGCAAGTATGGTTTTTCAAGGAAGATTTCTGTCTGCCATTTCTTCGGATTTCGGCATTGCTCTTATCTAACAATTTCTTGTTTCTTGAATAGGTTGTTCTTGTTCCAGTCACTCTAGGCCTTGTGCTCAACACTTATGCAAGACCTGTGGTGACGGTCCTTCAACCGGTCATGCCATTTATTGCCATGATTTGTACTTCATTGTGCATAGGCAGCCCTCTTGCCATAAACCGTGCACAAATTCTTTCGCCAGAGGGGTTCCGACTGGTGTTTCCGGTGTTAGCATTTCACGCAGTGGCTTTTACATTAGGATATTGGGTCTCCAAAATCCCAGTTCTGAGGTACATCTCTCACTTCCATCCTAAATTATTGATCTATCATGTCAGCCAGGTGAAAAAGAAAAAAAGCCATGGCACGACATGACATAATGAGAAGATAATTCTGCCAGTTGAACAAGCAACACACGACTTAGTGCGCATTTGAACAAAATTTTGAATGTTTTATAAATACTGTAGCAAAATGGTTTATAGTAAAAAGGTTCGAACTGTGATTCAAACCTGCAAAACAAACAGGACATTAATCACAAATTCTTACTCATTCTCTAACATGTGACAGGCAAGAGGAAGAAGTTAGCAGAACAATCTCATTATGCACAGGAATGCAAAGCTCAACCCTGGCTGGATTGCTTGCAACCCAGTTCTTGGGGAGCAGCCAGGCAGTTCCTCCGGCTTGTTCAGTAGTTGCCATGGCAATTATGGGCCTTTGTCTTGCCTCTTTCTGGGGCAGCGGCTATCGAATCAGAGACCTACCGAACTTACTAACACCCTGAACTGGCTCCACTGTTAGCGCTTAGTATGTATCCTTCGGGTGCTGTATTTTGGACCTAATTTAGTGCAGAAAGTTGGCCAAGGATGCTGATAAAGCGGGATATTTAGAGTAGAATGGAAGGTTATGTGGTGCTTGTGTTTTAACTCGGTGGGATAGTAGTGTTTGGAACAGAGGAGGAGGAACTGTGTAGAAGGCGGGAAAATATGGGGTTAGCCTAGAGTTGTTTAGTGTTGTACAGCTCTTTATACGAGCAAGAAACTGAGTTTCTTCTGTATATACTCTTAAAAAGGTATATGCTAAATTATACATGCGGAAATGTTTCATAGTAAGCATGAAAAAATGTGAAATTCGTTTGCTCTTTTCATCGTGGAGAATTCTGTAACCGAGTACAAAAGTTGGCAGAGAATAGAGCTTTTAACCGTCAGATATGATCTTTTACAATTACAATTTCATCAAAGAGAGAGGCTACATCATGTTTTCCATCACTCTTTGATGTTTGATGTGAATGTTGAGAGTGATAAAATTTAAACAATAAATGCCGAGAGTGTTAAACAGTGAATGTTGAGAGTGATAAAGGGAGTAACAAAAGTCACTGGGAGTAACAAAAGTCAAATAGTGAATACTGAGAGTGACCAAGAAAGTGATAAAAAAAAGTGAATGATGAAAGTGACAAAAAAAAGAGTGATGTTAACATATTTTTTTTATCAAATTAATTGATTGACAAGTCTGGGCAGCTTGAGAGCTTAAATATGAGTCGGGACAAATAGAAAAAATGGAGAATTATCCTTAAAGAGTGTATGAGTCTAAATTTTTATCATTTAATTTTTTATAAATATCTTTTTATTAGTGTAATTATTTAACTAAAAAAGTTACCAAATAAAAAAAAAATAAAAATTTTGACTCAAGGTATGATAAATAAGGTTGATTCATTACCCACATACTAGGCCCGTTAGTGGGCTGTTCTAGCCTGTCACTTGCCCAACCTGGATGTAACGGTCGGCCTAAGCCTAGGTTTCACACCAACCGTGTGGATCGGCGCAGCCCCCGCGCACACATATGGCCTGTTGTGGCTTTTTTTTTTTTTTTGTGTGGATAGTTTTATTTTTTTTACTTAATCAGTCAATTTTTTTTTTCAACAATAAATACTATCTAACCGTTCTACAAAGGAATTCTCAAATTCCAGACTACATTCCTCTCACAAGTTACGTCCTCTCCAATTCTCTCAAGTTTCTTCTCTCCAACCTCCCAAATTCTTTCTTAGAATCTCTTAAAACTGTTTTTAATTATTTTTTATTAAAAAATAAATATTCATTACTCTATTTTTAAGTGTCAAGATCAAGATACTATTAGAATTATTATATTGTACTTATTTTTATACATATCCACTTGTTTGTAATTTTGGTGGGCTCATTTTCCATTCAAAGGCACGTCGTTTACCTTGTCTGCCCCCGGTTTGCCCGGCCCACTAAGCCTGCTGTTGGGCCTGCATTTTGCCCCGTCAAGCTTCAAGTTCGGTCTAGTCTTCGGAAAAGAAGACAATTACTCCTTAATAGTACCCCTACTCACGAATATTGGTCCGTCAGTTAAATAATTATAATTATATTAGTTAAAAGGATAATAATAAAAAATAATTGATAAAAATTTATATTTATGCATTCTAAGGATAAGTTAAGCTACTTTCTCTTTTGGCTTCTGGATTGTTCCCAAAACATCACGGCACTTGTTTTAGTGGCTCTCCGGCCTCCTCCTTCCCAGCCTTGAACTGCGCCAAGTAGAAGCTCAGCAGAACGAGACACCACTTTAAAAAAAAAAAAAAAAAACAAACAAACTTCGAAACGTGGAAAAGAGTTAATTTCGTCTTTTCATCTGGCTGGATTAAGACATTATATTACGTTCAAAAAATTGAGATTGACTGGTTCATGATATGATTTGAAACACATTTAAAAATGTCTTGGTGTATATTTGACAAAGTCCATATGACACATATACTTAACAAACCTAAAATACATGGAATATTTATATAAATTCCCCAAAAGATCAAACCAATCGTTGTTTTATTTCAAACACGACAAGTACATCATATTCGTTGATCAACAGCATATTAGGACTGCTAAATATAAATTAAATATCGATCATGTTACGTTCCTTTACATGACTGAATTTGCTCAAAATCAAATATCTTGATTCTGCTTTATGGAACGTATAACGTAGGACACCACAAAATGAAATCTATGGTTATCTTTATTAGATTCACGAGGATCATTGCTCTCACAAGTGTTCCTTTAATTACCACTCATTATAACACAATATCTCTCGAACATATAACACATATACTAGCACAATATTACACACTTGCAAAACTAGCTAGCTCACCTTCTACGCCTTTTCATCGCTTTCCTTGCTTCTTCTCACTCGAACGTCACTCTTCCTTAACAATTCCACAGATTTTTTTTTTTAACATATATCTAATAATGGGGCAGCATGGTGTAGGTTTTCATAGCAAAATTATATAAATTTAGTGGCCGTACGTTGATATATATTTTTAAAAGTCCAGAAATCAGCGTTAAATACTCTTAACACATCAGGATATATATATATATATATATATATACTTTTACTACAAAAAAAAGAAAAAATAAAACACACAAACATATGTAGATACATCTATATCTAAATCGAAATCTATACATATATACTTATAACTGTTCTAGAATATCATGTACAAGCTAAATCATCGGCTGTTTCTTTTCACAAGATTACGAAGTTTGAACTAAAAGCACGACCAAGCGCACATAAACTACGGGACAATAATGGAACATGTTGGTTATCTGTGGTCGTTGTAAATAGTGAATTTCTAGCTAACGGATCAACAAAGGGAGGGAACATAGAGGGGATAAAGGAATGGCGTTGCCTCTGCTTTTGAAGCAACTGGATGACAACCCTAAAGTACTTGAAAGAATATAATAAGGCCATATATATATATATATATATATATATATATATATATATATATATAAAGAAAAAAGCAGCACAATCATGAAGTGTAACTTGGACCCATTACCCCAATATTTACGGAGACTTTTCCCTTTCCTTAAAAGCATGTATGTATATATAAAACAAAACACAGCGTCTATAAGAATCTATATATGTACTAGATATGTATGACGTAAATATATGAAAACTACCGAAATTTGTTTCAGTTATAAGTAAATTCGCGATTGCCTTAGAAGAGGACCACTTTCATTATTGATTGATCTTAGTAAGAAGAAAAATACTTCTTAGATTGTATGGTTTGCATTTTTACTCTTTACACTTGATTAATATTTTTTTTAGTTAAATAACTATATCAGGTAAAAGAGTATTAATTAAAAGAATGTGCAAAATTCCAGACTCATCCACTGTAAATGTAAGTTCAACAATCTTCTTTATAAATAATTGTTAATTAATAATCATCAATTTTCCTGCATATGTTTAATTTATCAATTTTCAATGCATTTAAGTCATTTGTATAATTTTTGATATCTCAAATGTTGTCTAACCAATCAGATTATGTCATGCCATTTTAGGAACTCAAACATTAAAGCATGAAAAAAAACATTTTAAATTTTTTAAATGACGTGACATAATGTGGTGTGTTAGATGATATCATAATTGAACAAGTGATTTGAGTCCATTCTCAGTCATGTAAAGTATTGAATTTTAATTTTTTTAGAATTTTTTTTATTTAACAAAATTAAGGTTTTTTTTCTAAAAATATGCTTTTAGAAGAATCATTTTTGTGGATATATCTATTTTGTAGCTATCAATTTATCTAGTACAAGATGGCTGATAATTGAATGTAAATAGATGAATAAAAATTACAAGTCAGAACAAAAATATGTAAATTAAGCATTTATCTGAAATTTTACTCGATAGGTAAGAAATAAGAATATATATAGTCATTTTTTCCATCTTTACTTTTATATTAACGACGATTTGCTAGTGTTTCAGGATTCCTTAGGAAAAATTAAAGTAAAACAGAAAATATTCTTGTTCAATGGTTGATCATCAAATAGAAATTATGTGAACAATTAATTAAATAATTTTAGTAGTATTTTTGTGAACTTAAATTTGGGCGGGGGGGTTGTTTGATAATGATGCAACTTGAGCCTGTGGAATTGAACAATAAGGAAAAATGTATAAGGAAAGAGATTTATTATTACGTTTGTTATGATCTTTCTCTTTTATGAAAAATAAATGCGAAAGATCACTTATTTAGTCTAGAGAATATTTTAAGCATGTCTTCTTCACCCAAAAAAAAAAAAAAGGACATGGTTTGTTTGATAATGATTTAACTTGAGCCTGTGGAATTGAACAATGAGGAAAAATGTATAAAGAAAGAGATTTATTAGTACTTTTGTTATGATCTCTCTCTTTTATGAAAAATAAATGCGAAAGATCACTTATTTAGTCTAGAGAATATTTTAAGGATGTCTTCTTCACCAAAAAAAAAAAAAAAAAGGACAATATAAAAGAAAGAAATATGAAGGATGATGAATTTTCATCAATGAGAAGGGATATTTATTTTAAAGAAACGACTAGAATATGTGTATACTAGATACAATAGCCATATATATCCATGGAGGTATCTCTTATCGACAATTAATTTATTGGTAATTTTACGTTTCGAAACAGTCACATTACATTACTAGCTCTAGCCAGATTTCACTTAGAAAAAAGAAAAGAAATTAGAGAAAAAAAAAACTCTTGGTTTTTCCGAGCTGCAACACTAAAAAATCAAGTGTATATTAAGTTCCTGCACACCAAAAGGTTAAAATCAGAATAGAACAAAACACCGTGAACATCAACATACAAGTACTAATTAATATTGAAATTGCCAGTTTAATCTCTTGGTACAATATATATAACACAACAAGTTATTTAAATATGATATATATGCAATATTTCAACATAAATATGTATATATATATATATATATATTTCTATCCCATATCTTTAAACTCAAATGGAGCTAAATCTATAATTGATTTTATATAGCAGAAAATATATAGAATATTGTAAATTTATATATTGTGGATGTAGATAGATAGATAGATAGATAGACAGATAGATAGATAGATAGATAGATAGATAGATAGATAGATAGAGAGAGAGAGAGATGAAACGTCAAAAGTAAAAAGTACGTGACTGATGATCAAGCAGAGGCAAAATCGGCGATTCTTTTCATGAGCTTTACTTGGGTGGCAAGACACTTTATGTAATGGGCAGTCTCGTCCAACAAGTTACACATGTCCATGGCTTCACCACCAGGCACAAGCTTCCGAAGCTCGTTGGCTTTCCAACCAAGTGCACCATTATTTATACTCTCCTGATCCTTACAATTACGATCATCTGATGATCTCTTAATATTCCTGATCATGGTAAAAGTAGTACTCTTGCCTCTAATTCTTGTCCCTGCAGGACAATATTTATAATATTTGTTACCAAAATTAATCCTTTCTTGGTCTCGGATTCTCTGAAGCAAAGCTCGGCTCCAAGCTCTCCTCAAACCAACCGCAGAAGCCATAGACGCGTCAGCAGCAGACTTGACCTTGAGATATCTCTTGTAAATCTCCGTAGGAGAAGAACGAGAAAGTAGAGATGTGGCCAGTTTTTGCCTGTTTATTCTCTTTAGGGCTCGAATAAACCCTTGGACGAATCTGTACTTGTAACTAGTACTGGAAAAGCTTAGAGACAACCGCTGTGGATTCATCATGAGGCCTTTGGGAAGGATATTAGGGCTTTCTTCAGGTGGGTTTTTTTTTTTTGGGAGATCAGCTGAGAACTGAGAAAAAAACCAATTACCAAAAGACTGACAAACCGTTAAGAGATGTAGAGACTTTCTTCTGACAAATCAAAGCTTATAAGGGGTGCTCTTATTTGTGCTGATCGATCGCTGATCTCTGATCTCTCACGGCTCACAAGGACAAAAGGTAAGAATCCAGTTCTGACACAATTATTATGTGTTTATCTGAGAGAGAGAGAGAGAGAGAGAGATTGAAAATGGAGGGTTGTGAAGAAGGATGCTAGGTATTATAAGAATTGTTAAAATGAAGTGGAATATTGGGGATTTATGAGGTGAAAAAGTGGGGTTTGTGGGGGCTAGGGTGGGGCCAACCACCATATGAACGCACATGGTTCCATTACCCACTTGGATAGTGGGGCCCTTTTATCCCTTTGCTTTGTTCTTTTTTTCGGTTTAGATGAGGCCTTTCCTAGTAACAATTGACATTTTAGTTGTTCATCTGTGTAATGTATTCCATCAAGTTTTTGTATTCTTCGTTGGGTGACCAAATTGTGGGGGCCGGCGGCAAAGGGTGGTAGTGGTGGCACAATGTGTCATTGATGGTGAGGTATCAATTAAATTAACTAATTAACGTTCCTAAAGAATATCATACATACATACGGTGGCCTACAAGCAAAATATTACTGTGGCTGGATTTGTAATCAAAGGTTCAAGCGAGTCTCTCAATTTAAAGTGTTAAAACCATACAAAATGTATCATCACTGCTAGCTAGTACATTCTGTGGAACTGTGATAACGCACTCCTCGTCAAGGAGTGGGGCCTACCGTTAAGACGTTCAGTTAAATGTGTCTGGGACATCTCATTTGATAACGCACAGGGAGTGCTTATATATATATATATATGTTATTTTGTGGTGATGGCCTTATAATAAGCATTGGAATTGTATCAATCAATTTTAATGGAAAAATCATACTTTTATGTCTAATATGTAAATATAGGATCATCGAAGGTATTCTTCGAGTATTTCGAGCAAATAAAAGTCGCAGATCAAAGCTTGTTAATCCTGACATTATATTACAGGTACGGATTTGATACCAAGCAACTATATAGAGCTATAAGGCTTTCTTCATAGTGATCGCAAGCTGCCAAAATATGTAGTGGGCAATTTCTCTCTCTCTCTCTCTCTCTCTCTCTCTCTCTGAGGTTAAGCACCGAATAGATTGTTCTAAATTTATACACAAACCTGAAGCATTTAATGCCCTAGCTAACTGAAGCAATAAATTACGTTGAGCCAGATATATTTCAGCGACCAACTAGTCCTAAATTATCAGGAATGAAATTTGACGTAGAAATCACTTTTCTTGATCTAGAAAAGGACAAGTGCTCCGGTACTATGTATGTAGAATCTTACAATCAGTCGAAAGTGAAACAATTACCATCTTTGTCCTAGTTACTAAAAGTCCAAGATGAGTTTCCTTGATGACAAATTAAAGCAATGGTATTTTTCCAAGGACCACAATCAAGTGGTATTAATTGAAGCGACAACTTTCTGGCCTGACTTTCAGCTTATCAAGCTAGCTAGCTAAACAGTAAGTAAAGGTTGGTCTTAACCAAATAATATTAATTCAAATTATCACTTCGAGTTATTATTCATAATAGATATTGTTTTAACCTCTCATATTCAAAAGATACCAATCATTTTGGCTGCATGTGGCGTGCTCTTCCTTATTACACTTTGATCATGAGTTGTTTTCTTCTGTTATTAATTGCCTATGACTTTCTTGACAAAGAGATTTAAAGAAAGGGGAGAGCAGTACCAATATTGACAAGTATAAGATCTCGCCGGAAGGCAGAATTATATTTGCGCCAACCTGGGGAGGATCTAGGGTTTGGCTGGCCAAACACAGCCATCGGCTGTAGATATAGCAGTGGGTCTAGGCTATATGTATAAGGACTACCATTAATGATACATCATGAGAAGAATTTATACCAATTGGGTCGTGTATGAATGATGTATATATGTAGCATATACATATAAGGGAAGTGCAATTTTAATAGTTATTTTAATATTTATTTATCGGTGGCTATTGTCATTTTTCATCGTGTGTAATATAGATTAGACAATTATAATAAATTTGAGGAGTTGATTAAAAAAATTTATTGCGAAAAACATAACCATTAATAAAGTATCTATTGAAAGTCCGTATATATATATATATATATCATATTGTATCACGCAGTACTGTTTCTTTCATCTTCTTTTAATCTCTTTTATAATTTTCTATTTTTTTTGCTCTTGTAATTAAGGTTGGCCTAATTTAGACATGATTCCTCTGAGTTTCATCGAGAATTAAGACGGGTGTAGCAATAGGAAATCTAGAGAAATTCATCTCTGGATTCTGGTGCGATAACATAAAAAAATATTTTTGCCTTTTTTTTAAAACTAAAAATTTATCTCCTCGCATTTTTCTTTTTTCTGAATAATATAACTTACAAGTGCCAAAATTCTACAAAAAAAAAAAAAAAAAAAAAAAAAAAAAAAAAAAAAAAAAAAAAAAAACACACAAAATTAAAGAGCTGAATTTAGAATGGCAAATACCCTAATTTTCTCATAGTGTAGTTTGTACATATCACTTAAAAACGACAGCACGATAGTCGATTCCTTGAGTTTTCATGTTATATGTAGTTGGATTAGACGTTTTAGATTTTCAAAGCAAATCTAGTGGATAGAATTCTCGTTTCAAATAATCATAAAAATTGCATTAATACAGTGCCAGAATTTAAATGAAAATTTTGATGACATTATGTCTCATATGAAAAGGACCTTAAAATAATTCGGAAAGAACAAAGTGGTATTAGTGGATGCCAAAAATGCAAACCAGGTTGGATTTTTTTAACTAATTAGAGTGTGTACTTAAATTGCAAAAGAACATGGGTGGGCCTAAGCTTGACTATATATATGATGAGACACCAAGCTTTAGAAAATCAGAATTAAGGTTCTTTAACTATAACTAATAATAAAGGATTAGTTAACATTCAAATATATAAGCTGGATCAAGCTGTTCAAATAACTATACAACCTTTTAATATTTGGACCACTCAAATGGACTCCAAGTTAGCATCTCGTGTCATCCTTTCTTGAGACATCAAACCAATTTACTCAAATTAATTCCATAAACAGCCATTACTGCGTATTGTACTGGTACCATTTTTCCTTATCAATTGATCTCTCTCTCTCTCTCTCTCTCTCTCTCTCTCTCTCTCTCTCTCTCTCTCTCTCAGCTTTGGTGGGAGTAACGTCTCTATTATTAATTTAATTATGCAAGTATTTGTCATCTATACATATGGGAGAGAACTGAAAATTTTGTTAATTTGTCACCGAAGTCCATCCAAGCAAGCCAATTCAGAAGCTACTTTCCCAATCTCCTTCAATCATCCTTTCAAATCAATTTGAATTATATTTTTCTGTTCATATATAGATAGGACCGAGTACTAATTCCATTTGGTTACTTAAAAATGCTTTCATGTTATTGACGTCGTTTTTTCTCCGAACTGGAAGGTAGAGAAATTTGAACTAAATACCTGAATTTTAATGTAGATGTGGATTTATCGTTAGGTTGGCTTGCAGTAACCACATTAATAAAATTTTATATGCTTCACGGAGTTAAAAAAAAAAAAAAAGACTACTTATAATTACGTGGAGAGTACTACTGTAGTTGACTTAATTTAGCAGTGAATAACTTCGAAATTTAATCAGCAAAGAAAAAAAAAAAAAAAAGGAAAGCTCTTTGCCTTGAAATGCAGGTTATATGGGGCATTCAACACTTCAGTCCATAAAATAACTCAACGCATTAAACATCCAACATTGCAACTTAAATATATTACAAACTGTCCTAATAATCATTGTGAAAAAGTGAGAAATAATGATTTATAGTTTCTCATATTTCTGAGATAGTTATTTCAATTTTGTTTTTAAATTCAGGGTTATCAATCGAAATGAATGCAGTGTTCGTTTTTGCACAAACGTCCCAACAATTGGATTGCAAGGACGGAAACGGTGCGAGATCTAACGAAATGAGAACTTGAGTTAAAAAAAATAAATTCTTGTGAGAGAAAACACTGTAATAAAAAAAGTTAAATTTTAATTTTTATGAGATAAAATACTGTAATAAAAACTTGAGTTGTGATTGGAGTTCTTAGTGTGCACAGTTTTGTTTCTTTCGTTTGGTCTAATTAGTAATTATTTTCTCTCTCATAACTACGGGATCATTCCAATCATGACTTGTGTTATAATTTTGAGTGAACGTTTTGTGTGGCTCTTAAGCTTTATAAAGACCTTCAGAGAAAGAAAGCTACAAAGATATTTTTACATGATAAATGACGCCGACCTTGTTCCGGCAGATAGTATATGTTTGAAGGAAGATCTTCCCAACACACATATTTAGACACACGTAGGTATATGTATGAATGTATGCTGTACACATAAATATGTGTGTGTACGCATATGTGTGATCTTTTTTTATGAGTATTAGCTGGTGACTTTAAAGACCAAAAAAAAAAAAACAAAAACAAAACTGTAGTTTTCTTGATTTTTGTTTCATTTTATTTCATGACCGCGAAAATAGTATTCTTTTTATTCTGTAAGAGAAATTGTTATTTTAATTATTTTACTTTGAATTGAGCTCTTGTCCTCTTATATATGCTTTCTGTTTTTGAATTTTGAGGTGTGGGATAAGAGTTAGATGTAAAATTACGGTTTGACCGTTCTCTTTATCTGTTTTAAATGTCTTATCATATCCAAAATTAATTTATATTCTTTTGTTTTTTAGATTGACATTGTATAAGGAATATATTACAGCTATAGTAACAGATCTTCAATTACCCTTTAAAAAAGGTCTTGAATTTAACTATTCTTTCGCTTCAAAATAAAGTTGCTTTTTTTCATATATCGAAAATAAAGTGGCAGTTAAGTAATTGAAACACATAACTACAAGTCCATTAATATTGCCTTCACGCTCAATTCTTTATGGCCTATGGCTTTTCGTTAAGTTCATAAACTCTCAATTTATTTAATTTGTTTCTCAATAAGAACATGCATAAAGAGAAAAAATTGTAACGCAAAGAAGAGTTAGAATTGTACTTGTACACAATACACAAGGGGATAAATTAGTAATCATCACTACCTGGAGCTAGCTGTATTTATGTGACGAA